TATAAAACAAAAAACCCTTCCCCCAAATTCAGAACATACAATTCAACTCAATTAACAAAGATACATAAAGCAGATAGAGAAAAATGTCTGGAAGAGGAAAAGGAGGCAAGGGATTGGGAAAGGGAGGAGTGAAGCGTCACCGGAAAGTTCTCCGTGACAACATCTAGGGGATCACAAAGCCGACGATCCGCCGTCTGGCGAGGCGTGGTGGCGTGAAGCGTATTAGCGGTCTTATCTATAAAGAGACACGATGCGTGTTGAAGATCTTCCTCGAGAACGTTATTCGTGACACAGTTACTTACACCGAGAACGCTCATTGGAAAACTGTTACTGCCATGGATGTTGTCTATGCCTTGAAGCGTCAGGGACGAACTCTGTATGGTTTCAGTGGTTAGATTAGTTAAGGTTTATAGATTAGCTTATATCCTGTTTCATTTATGTTTCCGATTTGGTTAGTTTTTGTGTAGAGATGTTTGCTATATCGGTATAACTGAAGCTAGCTAGACTATGATTTAAGATGAATTGTAAACTCACTTTCATGTTAGTTTTCACTTCGATTGTGTTATTATTCTCAAATTTGAAACTACTTATGGTTTAATCGTTGCCCACTTTGTAAGTTTAATATCTTCATCACGACTGTTGACTCTTGTTTATAAAAGTTCATACATTAAGAGAGTGTTGCTCTCGAGTGGGTTTATGGTTTTGTTTTGATATATGAATTCCGTCTAATAGCTGCTCTAAAATTGTGATCATACGACCTGTTTTAAGTTTAAGCAGAAATCCCTTCCGATATGATTTTGTCAAAATCCCTGAACACAATTGTTGAGATGTTGTGATGGAATGTGTTCTCGAGACGTCATACATAACACAACATAAACCATAGTCACATATCTAGAATCAAAATAGAGCACATTTGGTATAATAACAAGGATTAATCAAACCTCACTTGAAAGATCTTGAAGTTCTCTATCATGTTCTCATTGAGCCATCAAATTTCCAGTGATTATGGCAGAGATAGAATCAGGAAAAGGAGGAAATTTTGAAAAAAGTATAAGTACCTTTGTAGAACTTAATAGCACAATGTTAGGCTAGCTACTTGTGAAAGGGAACCATTTCTCAATTGACATACCTAATAACATAATGGTTTCTTATTAGATGCCATGGCATAAATTCATAAAATACTCAAAATAACGATTAAAATTGACTTGGTAGGAGAATATCCGAATTAAACCATACACTGAGTTTTAGTGGGATAAGTATATGGAGTAGACGAGGTCAATTGGCCTAAAGATGCACACAACAAATGCTTAATCCTATACGAGGCGTGGTGGGTGGAGTCTTGTAGTATATGGACCTGCATTGATCTGTTTAGTTGGGTTCGATCATGTTTTAGTTAGGGTTTACATATTTGCTTTGCACATATATAATGATTGATAGTTAGTCTTTGAGTTGTATTGTATGATCTTATTTCAAGTATGGGAATAAGAGTCATACTTTGTAGATATACATAATATCAACCGAAGATAAATACCGTTTTTTTTGTATGTTGATTATTGTGTTAATAATAACTTTTGCAAACACCTAACAAGGTGTTTTCCTTGGACGAGTATTTTAGGATGTCAGAGCGTACCGTGTGGGAGTGTGTGTATAGGTTTTGCAAAGCGATATGTTTTGTTTATGGACAATGATATTTGCGCAAACCAACTATCAACGATATCCACAAATTGTACACGGTGCATGAAGGCAAACATGGATTCCCTGGAATGCTAGGTGATATCGATTGCATGCATTGGAGTTGGTCATTATGCCCTAACGCATGACGTGGTCAGTACATGAGAGGCGATCACAAAGAGCCGACGATCATTCTAGAGGCTATCGCATCACATGATCTTTAGATATGACATGCATTCTTTGGTTTAGCTGGTGCAAACAATGACATCAACGTGCTAGACTAGCCGCCGGTATTCAACGATATCTACCTTGAAAAGTCGCACGATGTACATTTTCAAGCAAATGGGTTAGCATATAAGCATGACTACTATCTTACTGACGATATATATCCTCCCTTGTCTGTTTTTGTGAAATCGTTTACATGTCTAAACTACCAAAAAAGAAAAAAATTTAAAGAGGCGCAAGAGTCAGCTAGGAAGGATGTGGAGCGAACATTTACTGTACTTAAGAGACGTTGGCAAGTACTAACAGTCGGGGCAAGGTCATATGAGGTGAAAAGGTTACATCACGTAATGTATGCATGTATCATATTGCATAATATGATTCTTGAAGACGAAGGAAGAGCAATATGCCGGTACAACGAAAATGAAGTTTTGCTAAATGTCGAAGATGTAGCTTTTGGTACACAAGAGTAAGGGTGAATAGAAGAGAAGTACATAATCACGCCATTCATCACGCCCTTCATGCTGATTTGGTGGAGCACATTTATAGAGCTCATATTTAGCCCTCGTTAAAGTTTTCTCACGATGATTTGTTTGACGAATCAGACGAGGATTCTGATATGTTCGTCGAGAGTGAAGATTCCGACAACGAGAGTGACGCTGAGGAGAATGATGAAAACGATTAAGGCGATGATGAGGACGATGAGGGGGACGACGAAGACGATGATTCCGAGTGATGTATTTTGGTTTAAATAAAATTAGGATATTAATTATGTTTTCTATGTTTTTTTTTCTTTCCTTTTTTGCGTTTTGTTTTATTTTTCTATTTATTTAAATATTAGGTTTAATGTAATTTTTATTTTAATTAATGAAATGCTTATTATTTTTAATTAAATTTTATGTTTAGTATTAATTTAAAAATTATAAACAATTAAAAAAAATTATTTAATTAAAAAAAAAGTGAGCGAAAAACTTGTCACTCATTCCTTGGGTTTTAGGCGAGGGAAAGAGGGGTATGATCCAGAAAAAGTGAGGAAAGCTTCCCTCCACACCTAGGGATGGCAATGGGTACGGGTATACCGGGTTTCGTGTTGCCCATCCCCATAGCCGAATCCCAACCCCCATCCCCATACCTATACCCGACCCGATCCCATCGGGGATTAGAAATCTATCCCCATCCCCATCCCCAATGGGTATCGGGATCCCCAATGGGTAATCGGAGATTTTTCCCTATTACAAAATTTTGAACTTTTATGAAAAATAACTCATAATTATATATTAACCAACAAAACAAAAACTAACATAACTAATATAAAACGCTATAATCACTGAATGTCTTCAAACACGAATAATAACATTCAAGGTTATAAATTAAATCATTTTTTTTTTCAAAAAAAGACATAAAAGTCTTCCCAAAATTATACGATTGATTATTAAAAAAGCTTACTTTGTCTACTGAACATTTTCTTATGCATTATTAAAAATAAAAACATAAGTAACACTTTGTGTATATATATATATATATATATATATATATATATATATATATATATATATATATATATATATATATATATATATATATATATCGGGTACCCATCGGGGCCGGTTTGGGTACGGGTATGGGTACCCGACATGTGAACCATCCCCATCCCCATCCCCGCCTTTTGTATTCGGGTAATACCCATCCCCGTCCCCATCCCCGATCAACTCGAGGATTTACCCGATCAACTCGGGTTAGGGTTTCGGGTACTCATCGGGTACGAGTTTTTTTGCCATCTCTACCCACACCCTCCCATCTGAGCAAAAGTTAACTTTCAAATTTGATAATCAAGCAAAATAGAAAAAAAAATTGTAGATTTTATTGAGGAAAATGTCTTGAAATTAAAATCATAAAATCATTAGACTTATCGGTTTCTTAAATGAAATAAAAAACAAGTATAATAGGAGTTCAATACAAACGAAAAAGACGATAATGGCCCGCGAAATGGTTCGATCCAAACTTTGAAAACAAAACCAATCCAACACAAATTCCCTCTTCTTCTTCTTCTTCTTCTCTATCCGCCCAATGAGACCAGAGAATCTCCTCCACCGCCCCACCCACACCCAATACTGCACTCTCGGCTGTCCGATCCTCGACGCCTTCCTCGGCGGCGGAATCCCCTGCAACTCAATCACCGAACTCGTCGCCGAAAGCGGTTGCGGCAAAACCCAACTCTCTCTCCAACTCCTCTTTACCGCTCAACTTCCTCTCCACCTCAACGGGCTTTCCGCCTCCTCTCTATATCTTTACTCCGAGTACCCATTTCCCAACCGCCGGCTAGACCAACTCGTTGAATCGTTCCGGTCGTCTCATCCGATCTTATTCGCCTCTTCTCGTGACCCTCGTGATTACATATTCACCCGCAATTGTCAGACTGCACAAGACCTGCTCGACGTATTGCTCCTCTTGGAGTCTCGTCTTGAGAGACCAAAGGAGACCCGTTTGGATATCAAATTGATTGTGATTGATTCGATTGCTGCTTTATTCAGAAGCGATTTTGACAACAATCCGACAGATCTGAAGCGGAGGTCCTCTTTGTTCTTCAAGATCTCCTCCATTCTGAAGTCACACGCTAGGCGTCGTGGGATTGCGATTGTGGTTACAAACCAGGTGGTTGACTCAATGGACGACAATAATGGATCAAGTGGTGTCCGAGTTGGGAATCTGGAGTCTATGTATACATCTGGAAGACGAGTTCTTCCAGCTTTGGGATTGTCTTGGGCTAACTGTGTTAACTCAAGACTGTTTTTGTCAAGACACGAGGTAATAGAAGGTGTAGAAAATGGTTTACCTGATTCTGATTATAGTGGTTATGTCAGTAGACGAAAAAGGAGGGAACTTCATGTTGTTTTTGCTCCTCATTTACCTCATTCATCTTGTGAGTTTGTTATAAGAAGGGATGGTGTTTTTGGTGTTGATGAATGTCTTTAAGAAATGGGATTACCTTCTTTAGCAAATGTTATCATATTTGAAAGCAATTCAAGAATGCCCATTTGTTATTGGCTTTATTTAACATTACATTTGATTTTTCTGTGGGGGAATTTAATATATGCCATAGGGTTCATCGTTAATATGTTTTGATTTATGATGATTTTTGTATACTCTTCTTTATAGCCAGAAAAGTTTAATTGCATTCTGAGAATATTGTTCCACAAACTGCATTTATGAAGGCACACATTACATCATCATCTGTTACAAGTATATAACCCTACCACATGCCCTAGAAGCTATACCATATAATCTTGAAAACTTTTCGGTTTTTTCATGGTTACATTTGAACATTAGTTGTAGAAGTCTTGATAGCTTTGTTGATTTCAACCTCTAGTATTACCTGCAAAAAAAGTGAAATAGTTTTAGTTTCTATTTGTTATCTCAAACTAATTCTTTTTTACTTAATGGACTTAACAAGACAAAACTAGATACTATGAACTTAATATAGAAAGATCTCCTTACTTCCTTTTATCTTGTTGATGAGAACTGGGAATATCATGCTCAATTGGAATACGTTATGAATACAAATGGCACTGAAAACACACATACAACAAATTAGTATTGTTTTAAAAACACACATCTATTTAACTCAATACTTTTTAACAAAATTCAGTTGTAGAGTAAAGAATTGGAAAACATGATATCAAAAAGGCTCATTTTTCTAGTTAGTCAAACTTCAATCTAGGATTTTGTATAAACTTGGGAGAAAAAAAGTGAAAATCGATGAAATACTTACCAATCAAAAAGATTGTTAGCATTGAAACAAGCATGATTCGAAACGAACAACTTCTGTGCAAATGTATTGAGGTCTGTAGTTGCCTTTGACCACCAACAGCCCTTTTAAATATCTGTAAACACATTCACTTTTGAATATTAAACTAAATGTCAATAAGCCTCCATTTGTCACACATGACAAAACTGAACTGGATTAGACTGAACTGAATATGGGTGTGACATGACATTTACGTCTTTTTGTACAGACAAGATATCTTCCATCTTTTTTATCATGTCAGTTGTCAGTTTCAGTTTAATGCATATCAAACACAGTAGACAACTAACCTGACGTCTTTTTGTACAGACAAGATATCTTCCATCTTTTTTATTATGTCAGTTTCAGTTCAATGTATATCAAACAACCTGACGTCTTTTTGTACAGACAAGATATCTTCCATCTTTTTTATTATGTCAGTTTCAGTTCAATGTATATCAAACACAGTATACAACTAACCTGATTGATCCTATAATTTCCATATCTTGGTCTCCATAAATAACCTTCATCTTTCGATGTGGATTCACTATTCACCATTAATGATTTATTTTCTTCATTATCATGACCAATTGTAATCTTGAGTGTGCCAACATCTTGTGAACCCCATGTTCTTCTAGAACTTGCCTTCTTATCACATGAAGAACCATCGCTAGTTCCCAATACTTCATGGCTAACATCTTTACAACTTGTGATATAATTTGTTTTTTTTGGGCTATCTTTTTTCAAAGAATCTTTAATACCAGAATCCGAGTCTTTTGTGCTATTTGAGCTTCCTTGATTCCCGGAGAGAAACATAGCTAAGTCATCGCGTTCGTCTTCATCCAAATTCACCCAACGAAGTGGTTTTCTGACTCCGTCACTGAAATACTCTTTCAATGCTTCTTCGACTCCTGAAATCTGGGTAGCTATGGCGGAAACGAACTGTTCGTGTCTCGTTGACCTAATTTCGTCGATGTTTCTGTAGCTCATTCTTACAGCTCGTTGAAATTCATCCAACTGAATTCGAGAATTAAAGTTTAACAACATAGATTATGTTTCAAAATCCTTTGAATTTTGGGTATGATCGTGTTCATACCTGCCATTTTGCTGTGGCTAAAGCAGTTTGAAGCTCCCTACAAAGCTCATCTACAGCAATGGATGATATCCCTTCCCTCTTCTGTCTAACCCATGTCCTATAAGCTGACTCCATTCTAAAATTTTCAAAAAACAACAGAATCATCTCGTAAAAATTAATACCTTTTGGATTGAAATGAAAAACCCACATCAAAAATTAAAGAATAATGATATGTCTAGAAGAGAAAATCCCCTGACGCAGGGTCAAACCATAAATAGTCAAAGATATCGACATGCCCTAACACAAAATCGAACGGAAAAAACTAGGGATTGAACGAAATAAACGATACCCAGATAACAAAATAAAGGAATCAACAAGAACCCTAAATGAATTTGGGTGAAGGTTGAGAAGAAAACATACATATCTGCAGATGCCTGAACCTCCTCTGCGGCTGAAAAGAAGATGTCTTTCTGCCATAGATCAAAGGTGTTTGCTACCAACATATTTTCGTGAATTTCTCAAAAATTAAATGGGATTTCGTTTGTTTTTGATCTTTTTGGTATATGTTTCGTGAAAAAATTTGGAGGTTGGATTACGATGGGGTTTCTCTTCTTCCTCTCTTCTTTGCTTTCTTTAAGCAAAGAAGAGAAGAAAGAAGAGAGAGAAAGCTAAGGAGGAGGAAGAGAGAGAGGGGAGAGACAGAGATAGAGACAGGGTGAGAGGTATAATGGTTTCTTTTTCTTTATATTTCATCTGCAAATTACAAAAAACGAGTGTTTTTTTAATTCTTTTTTTTTTCGTTGGATGAGGGAAAGACGCCAGCTTATGGGATATTATTAACCACATTCGAAACAATGAACTCTCGTTTTCCTGTAAAGCATGTGTAATAACTTTATATGTAATTTAATAAAAAATATGTTAGTTTATTTTGTTAATAAATTTGTAAGATATATTATTGTTTATTATAAAATATATTAAATTAAATATAAGTCAAATGTTATATTATTTATGAAATGTATATTATATAAATAGTCCTGGTTATGGTTGTGATTTGAAGATTTTAGCCATATTAACAAGAGCTGTTTTGATTAATTTAAGAAAATTATAATGTGTTTTTTTTATTTAAAATCTATTCTTAATTTCTCATCCTTGTTACAACTACCTTGATGGTTTTCAATAAATTTTTTTTTCTTATTTATTTATAAGAATTCCACTCAGATATATATTGACTTTCTCAATATACGTATTAATAAATATGCACAATTATAGTGAGTTTATGAACAATTAAATCATCAAACATAACTTTATACATATTTTGGAGTTTCTAAACTGAGTTCGAGCCGACATAATCACATAATGCATCCAAACGAGCTCAAACCTGGTTCAAAGACACGCGGCAAACAGTAAATGATGCTAGTATAGGATAAATTACGTGGTCAGGGGAGCAGGTGATCCAGGCTTAGTGAGATTGTAAAATATAGAGGCGTCGGCTGGTGGATTAGTGAACGAAAAAGAGAATATGATAAGGTGTAAACGGTTCCACGTACATTAATATGCATACACGCCAGCCATCCACTATGGGCCTGTGGGGCCCAGAACATCAATAGAAAGAACCATTATTTATTTAAAAAAGATTATTTACTCATTTATAGCCGCATATGATTATACTATATGAGGCAATAAAGGCATTTTCGAAAAATAGTTATTCTGTTTTAATTGAGCAATATATTTTTATTTGCTAACCACACAATATTTTAAGATTTTAAAATTTTACATTAAATATTGTAGACATAAAAAAGTATATTTTAAGATTTTAAAATACAGCTGAAGTTTCAAGTAAATGTTTGTTTTTATTTTACTGAAATCAAAATAAAAATTAAAGAAACATAACAAAAATGAAATAGATTCTTATAATGGCATAAATGTACAATTTAGTTGAAAACTGATAATATCATTGTACACAGGTTTAAAAAAAAATTAGATGTAAATGAAAAAAATACATGTTATGTATCGTTAAAGGGATAATGACTTAGGAGGGTAATAAGGTTTCCAGTTTGTCCGTATTAGGTCACTAAGGTTTTTTTGCGCGTATTAGACCAATATGGTTGTTATTACCGTTTAGAAATAGTCCTTTTTACCCGTATTGGTCTAATACGCACAAAAAAACCTTAGTGACCTAATACGGACAACCTGAAAACCTTATTACCCTCCTAAGTCATTAACCCTAATTATTTAGAAAACATGCTTACTAATCAATGTGAATGATTTGTTTGACTGAAAATAGTTGCTTCCATTTAAACTTATCTCACAACCCTTCCAGAACTTCTAAGTCCTGAAACTCATATGATTGATGATCTTCATTACATAAATATGCAACATTTTATCAATAACTTCTTTCTTGTCATTTAAATGTTTACATGAACACATCCATATGTACAAAAACAAAATCTCACTTTGATACCTCCCATCAATGTCTACATTTGATAACGAATGGAAATGTAAAACCAACAGGGACTTGTATAGGATGTCTATTATCAATTATTTTATAAAAAGTAAAACCACAACATGAACTAAGAAACTGAAGTTGCAAAATGAATAAAAAAATCAGCACATAAACAAATACATACATACTATATACAACACATAAACGGAAGTTTATAAAGCATGAACCTTAATGACAGGAAAAGTAAAAAACTTAAAGGAGACTTTATAGAAAGAAAGATCACCTTTACTTGCCACAAATGGTTGAAGACATCAACAAGAAGATCAATCTGACCATAGAATCCACATGCTGTCTGCTCATGACTTCAGTATATGAACTAATGAAACGTAAGAATTGCAATTGAACTCTATTAGCATTTGAAAAGGGAATTAGGGTTCCAGAGAAGACGACGAAGGGTTAAAAAATATTTTGGACCATTTCTCGATTTGTTTGTGTCATCCTTGCGTAGGGGCCATGCTAATCTTCTTTGTATCGTTCCAATTTTATCGGATGTCCCCAAAGGGACGACTATAGATGAAGAGCTTCGCCATATAGCGGAGTAGCAGGTTATATGTGACGACGCGAGTTCTAAACGAAGTAGTTTACTGTTGATGGTCATATATTCTCAATGTCTTTAAAATTAGGGTTAATGACTTAGGAGGGTAACAAGGTTTCCAGTTTGTCCGTATTATGTCACTAAGGTTTTTTTGTGCGTATTAGACCAATATGGTTGTTATTACCGTTTAGAAATATTCCTTTTTAACCGTTAAAACCGGTAAAAAGGACTATTTCTAAACGGTAACAACAACCATACTGGTCTAATACGCATAAAAAAAAACCTTAGTGACCTAATACGGACAAACTGAAAACCTTATTACCCTCCTAAGTCATTATCCCATCGTTAAATCCAAACTGCACCATTTCGATAGATAATGATTAGTCATTTCAGTAAATAAACAAAAGTCAAGTTATTTTTTTTATTTCTGTCGTAATTTTGTGGTCATATTTGCAATTGCTTTATTTTTAAAAAAATAAATAAACATAATACACATTTAGTAAATTATCCAGTTGAATTTATTTAAAAAAAAAAAAAACAACAACACTAACAACAACAAAGAAATCTGAATTATGGATGATTGGGTTATGTTGCGAGCTGGAAATGAGACATTTTCATCATTCCACCACACAAATTCAATAATACAAAAACAATTATAATCTTTTACTTTGTAACATATTTTTTGTATAAAAAATAAAAAATTAAATATACTAATTGTTTGGTATTTATCATATATTTGAGACACAACAAACTAAAGTAACGATCATTTTTGTAATAATAGGTCCACATGTATCATTTTTGTACGTGGTATCGTCATCAATCAAAATTTTACAAACACTGTTCAAATAACTATAGACAAAATTCTATATAATAATAAAAAAAATATAAATCTATAATATAAATTTCACATAGATAAATAAAAACGATAATTTTTGTAAGTAAAAAATAAAATAATCCTGAAGTTTATTTTGTTCTTTTATGTCTGAAATATAATTATAATTAGAATATAAATAACAAATTTAAATCCTCTTGATACTAATACTTTAAGTTGGACATAAAAATCTTTAAATTTAACGGAAATATACGAATTAACATTTTTGTGGATATTAGGTTTCTTAAACCGGATGTTTGCAAACTTTTTTTTTTCAAATTTATATTCTTTTATAGAATTTCTGCAAAACTGAATAACTTTAATGCTTTTATGAGTCAGTTTAAAAGGTAAACATTTGTATCAAACGTAAATTCTTTAATAAATTAACCATAAATACATAAAAATAAAAATGTAAAATTAAAATAGAAAAGTTGCAAAAATCACTATCAATTTTATTATTAAAATTTTTGAACAGAAAAGAAAGTATATGAAAAAGATAAGCATTTATACAAATTTGACAACCATGCTGTTATAGGGAAAAAAAAATGATATTCTCATTTAAAGAACAAAAACCACAATAAATAAACAATAAGGTCCATGCCCATGATTTCTACCATACCATAAGATATCAAATTCTTAAACGTATTATTGTTATTAACAAAAGCGAACTTAATAAAGAAAGAAAGAAGGTCTACTACATTGCATGTGATGATAACAATCACATATCTGTCCACATATCATTGGGTTATTATAGAAGATGCTTTTAGGAGCCAAGGTGTATATGGTGATAATTTGTTGGCTACAGCTGCATTTGAACTCTCGTTCCACCAACTTATAACAATTTTAATTTGTAACACAAGTGTTATGATTGAGGGGGAACACATACAATCCTCCAAATTTCAAATCCGATGATACCTTAACACCCCAATCACAATGAAATGAGAAAATGAAATAATTAACGGCATGTATGTTATGTGTGTAACTTTTTAGGAAAAAAACAAATTGTTTTGTATTCTTGTGTGTAACTCTACCACGTATAGCATCGTTTAATTGATGTGTTACTTTGTGTCGGGAACTCGGGACAAATCTATGTTAGATATAACATAATGTGAAGGCCTCAAGGGTGCATCTTTAGCATGAATACCCTAATTTTTATAACATGTTCAAGTAAAATTAATATAAATACTAAATATATGTAATGATAATGAATTATGTTTTTGTATTGATAGTATATACTTTTGTTAAAACCCTTACTGTATTAGATGATAACAATTGTTGGTGATTTTAGTGTCACCATACATTTTAGATAATTGAAACTAATATATAAGTTAAGAGGTTTATAATTTGTATTTTATATTATATGTTTGGAGAATACGGAATGCATGCATATATAAGATCAAGGTGGTGTTTGGAAGTTCTTTTTGAACTCTAAAAGTGTTTTTAGATAGAAGTGTTTATTTACTTATAGTGGTGGTAAAATGAGTTTTTTTAAAAAGTGTTTAAATAAGTTTTTATAGTGAAAAAAATCAATAAGTCAATAATTTAAAAAATGTTTGGCTTAAAAAGTGTTTTTTGAAATTATTTTGTTTGAAAAGTCATAAGCAGTTTCAAAAAGCCACGTTTTATATTCTTAATAAAAAATGTTTTCCGAAGCTTATGAAAAACTATTCCGAAAAGTACTTTTGAGTTTGTCAAACACTTTTTTTTTGTCTTATTAGCTTTTCAAAAAGTCAATAAGCAAATAAGTATTTTTAAACAAAATCCCAAACACCCCCCAAATTATAAGTCGGTATGACGGAAAGGTGGGGGTCAAGGGGGTTGCACCCCTTTGCAAGGTCCTAGGGGCAACGCCCCTAGCGGGGTCCAAGGGCAGATCCCCTGGCGATGGTCCCACTGGAAGACAATGGGCAGAGCCCGATGACAGGGTCCAAAGGCCTGATATTGGTTATCTAGTGG